TGATCTCTTCTGCCCCTATTTGGATACCTTTAATTCCACTTTCCTGTCTGATTGCTGTAGCCAGGACTTCCAGCACTATGTTGAATAGAAGTGGAGATAGTGGGCAGCTTTGTCTGGTTCCAGTTCTAAGTGGGAATGCTTTCAGTTTTTCCCCATTCAGTATAATGTTGGCTATGGGTCTGTCATATATGGCTTGTATCATTTTTTAGGTATGTCCCTTCTATGCCTATTTTCTTAAGTGTTCGTATCATGAAAGGGTGTTGAATTTTGTCAAAAGCTTTTCCTGCATCTATTGAAAGAATCATGTGGTCTTTGTTTTGCTTCTGTTTATGTGGTGAATTGCATTTATAGATTTACGTATGTTGAACCATCCCTGCATCCCTGGGATGAAGCCCACTTGGTCGTGATGGATTATTTTTTTAATAAGCGTCTGGATTCGGTTAGCTAAGATTTTGTTGAAATTTTTGCATCTATATTCATTAGGGATATTGGTCTGTAGTTTTCTTTTTTGTTGCATCCTTTCCTGGTTTTGGTATCAGAGTAATATTCGCTTCATAAAAGGTGTTGGGGAGGTTTCCGGTCTTCTCGATGTTGTGGAATAGTTTCTGCAAGATAGGTACTAGTTCTTCTTTGTAAGTGTGGTAAAATTCGGGTGTGAAGCCATCTGGACCAGGACTTTTCTTTCTGGGAGATTTTTAATTGCTGTTTCTATTTCAGCAGTTGAGATTGGTTTGTTCAGGGAATCTATTTCTTCCTGATTGAGCCTAGGGAGGCTATGTGTTTCTAGAAATTTGTCCATTTCCTCCACATTTTCCAATTTGTGTGAATAAATATTTTTGTAGTACTCATAAATTATATCTTGTATCTCTTTGGGATCAGTTGTGATATCTCCTTTTTTGTTTCTGATGGAGCTTATTAGAGATTTCTCTTTTCTGCTTTTCGTTAGCTTAGCCAGTGGTGTGTCAATTTTGTTTATTTTTTCAAAGAACCAACTTTTTGTTTTGTTAATCTGCTGAATAGCTCCCCTATTTTCAATTTCGTTTAGTTCTGATTTGATCTTGTTGATTTCACTTCTTCTGCTGGGTTTGGGGCTGGTCTGTTCTTCTTTTTAGGGCTCTTTGAGTCATTTCATTAGATTGTCTATTTGTGATCTTTTTGACTTTTGGTTATAGGCATTTATGGAGATAAACTTTCCTCTCAGAACTGCTTTAGCTGTGTCCCAGAGGATTTGATAACTTGTCTCTCCCCATTTGTCATTTCTTCATAGAATTTTTTATTCCATCTTGATTTCTTCATTTATGAAGTAATCATTTACTAGGAGGTTGTTTAATTTCCACGTTTTTGCATTGAAATGTGAGTTTCTGTTACGGTTGATTTCTACTTTTATTCCACTGTGATCTGAGAAGATACATGGTATGATTTCTATTTTTTTAAATTTCTTGAGGTTTACTTTGTGTCCTAGGATATGGTCAATCTTAGAGAATGTCCTGTGAGCTAATGAGAAGAACGTATATTCAGGGATTTGGGTAGAATGTTCTGTAAATGTCAGTCAGACCAATTGTTCTAGAGTTTTGTTTAAGTCCATTATTTCTTATTAATTTTCTGTTTGGAGGATCTGTCTCGTGCAGTCAGTGGGGTGTTGAAATCTCTGGTGATTATGGAGTTGCTATTAATCCATTTGCTTAGCTCCAGGAAGGTTTGCTTTATGAATCTGGGTGCACCTAAGTTGGGTGCATATATTTAAAATTGTTATTTCTTCTTGTTGAAGTGTGCCCTTCACCATTATATAATGACCCTCTTTTGTCTTTCACTACTTTTGTTGGTTTAAAAACTAAATCGATCTGAAATTAGAACTGCCACAACCAAGCCTCTTTTGGCTTCCTATTTGCTTGGAATATTGATCTCCAGCCTTTTATTTTGATCTATATGCATCCTTGCAGGTTAGATGTGTTTCCCCTGAAGACAGCATATACTTGCCTGTATTTTCTTAACATTCAGCCAACCTATGTCTCGTGAGTGGCAGAGTTTAAGCCATTGACATTTATTGAGAGAACTGATAGGTAAGGTAGATTACTGTTCATTCTGTTGGGTTGGATTGTTGTTGCTATGATTTCTGTTCTTGAGCCATTGTAATATCTGGCCTTTAATATCTTTGGTTTGGTTGTTTTTATATTCGTGGGTTATTATTATGATGTTCCGTGCGTAACGCTCTTTTAGTACTTCTTGTAGGGCTGGTCTTGTCTTGGTGAATTCTCTGAGCCTTTGCTTGTCTGAGAATGTTTTTATTTCTCCTTCATATATGAAGCTTAGTTTTGAAGGGAATAATATCTCTAGGGCTGGGCATTGTTTTGTTTCAAAAGAGTGACAATGGGGCCCAGTCTTCCCTTGCTTGTAAAGGCTCATTAGAGAAGTCTACGTGTTATTCGAATTGGCTGTCCTTGTATGTTACTTGCTTCTTTTGTCTTACAGCTCTTAGAAGGGCCTCTTTAGTTGATACTTTGGTCAGTCTGATGACTGCATGTCGTGATGTCTTCCTGTTTGCATTGAATCTCCCAGGGGTCCTCTGAGCTTCTTGAACTTGTATATCAAGATTTTGAGCAAGGCCTGGGAAATTTTCCTCTATTATATCTTCAAACAGCTTGTCCAACCCTTGAGTGTTGTCTTCTTCCCTTCTGGTAACCCTATGACCCTCACGTTAGGTTTCTTCACATAATCCCACAGCTCTTGTAGGCTTTGCTCTTTTCTCTTGTTTCTCTGCTCTATCTCTGTGACTGATTTATTTAATTGGAGGGTGTTATCTTCAAGCTCTGAGATTCTTTCTTCTGTTTGATCTACCCTGTTCTTGAGACTTTCCACTGTATTTTGTAGTTCCTTGAATTGATTCTTCATTTCCAGGAGTTCAGTTAAACTTTTCTTCATTGTGTCCATTTCTTTTTCCAGATCCTGGAGGCTTTTGTGGTTTCTTTGTGTTGGTTATTGAGTTGTTGTTGCAGCTCGTGAGTGTTCTTATGATCCACATACGAAATTCCTCTTCTGTCATTTTGGTTACCTGATTTTGGTTGGTGCCCGTTTCTAGGGGGCTGGGGCTCCTCTTTGGGGGAGAGTTTTCCATTTGGTTCTTCATATTTCCTGAGTTCCTTCGCTGATTTCTTCCCATATCGATCAGTTGTTGTTTCTTTTCTTTAGGTTTTTGTTTGGGTATTCACACGCCTTGTTTAGTTTCTGAGCCGGAAGGTGGTATCTGTGGGTGAGATTCGTCCACTCCCTGTCCTGATAAGGGTGTGCAGGATGCTCTCCCTGTCAGTAGGTGGCACTTGTTTGGAGGAACTTGCTATGCTGTTGTTTTTATGCCCTGTTATCAGCTCTTGTTCCTGTAGAGAGAACTCTAGTGCCTCAGGTGGTGGGTGGGGCCCTGGGACTTCCAGGTGTGTCCTTTTCTCCCCTTCAGTGAGGGCTAGTCTAGGAGAGAGTCTTGGCAGAGCTGGGTTGGGTAAGCCTGCCCTCAGGCAACACCAATGTTGTTAGCAGGGGTCAAAGTTCTGTTCTCTGCTTCCAGGCAAAGCTTTCAGGTTGCGGCTGGAATGGCCCGGCTCAATCAGAGTGTTTGCGTGTGGGGATTGGGCTGTCTGAGACTCACAGTCTGGAGCGGGCCTGGCTTCTTTCCACCGTCCCCAACTCCACAGCTACTGCTGGGCCTCTGCCCGCAGGCCAGACCACACGCCACCACTCCTCCCCTTGCTGTGCTACCTGCAGGGAGGTTCCCTAAGCAGGAACGCCACCTGGGCTGGGTGCAGGGCCTCCCTTTGGGGGGAACGTTGCCCTCTAGGATGCTTATCTGCCCCTGAAGGCACACACACCAAAGTAGGCTGTTTACAAATATCCCTTCTGTGCCCCAGACAATAGGAGGCCTCGGTGCATGGGATGTGGTCTGCAGGTCTGACCTCTGGGTCCCAGAGTTCAAACTATATCCCCACCAGGGAGAGCAGTGCCAGTCCCAATTCACCCACAGGAAGCCCAAGCTGGGTTTATGTCTCTCAGCCTCAGAGTCTGCCCCACTCTCCTGGGATCACCGTGCCAGCAGCACCTGGGAGAGCTGGCAGGTAGGGAGCTCACAGTCTGAGTTCCCCTTAGTCAGCTGTAGGGCCCCAAAAGGGAAGGTCCCGTTCCCTGTAGGTGACTCCGGCTGGTGGCTATATTGTCTGTCTGTCTCTCTGGGCATCCGCGGGTAGGGTCAGGGGAGAGGAGGAGGAGGCAGTATGGCGTCTGCCGCCCGGCTCGGGTCTGTGCACACGGAGGTGCCCCGAGGGAGTTGGGAGCCTGGTGCTGCGTCCGCCACTGGCTTACCGCTCACTGGCAGCGGCCGTTGCTGGGCTGGTGTCCGCAGGTCTCTCCACTCACTGGGGAGCCCACCAGCAGTCCGGGATGCAGGGGAGGGGAAATGGCCAGTACTTCCCGCTGGTCTCCGGGCTGCTCCGGCGGTCTCAGCCTCCAGTTCTCCTCTGTGACCTCCTCCCATGGAGTCTCCCGTGGTCTCAGGTACTCCCCCTTCCGACCCTCATCCAATGTAGGCTCGTCTTCTTGCTTCTTTCTTCTGATTTCTGCTAGAATCTATCTTTTCTGCAGAGACACTCTGTCTGGCGGTGTTTCTCATCCGCCATCTTTTTTCAGCCCCCCTAGGACCACTTTCTTTACACGAAGATTCACTAAATAATTCATTTAATTGGGAAGTTCCTAAGTATAATTAATCTATTTTCAAAAAAATATACCATGTGAACATTTTAAAGGCACGTTCTTAATTGAAATAGCTGCATAGGTAGAATCCTTTATTTGAGCCCTTGCATGTGTCCCCCTCTGGAATCAACTGTCTCAAACCAGAGTTTGGGACTTGGTTTTTTTTATGTTGGAGCAGAATTCGTATCCTATTTATTTCATTTCATACGGTCCATTCCATGGTTGTTTTTGAAATGTTAATTGTCATTTGTTGTTATCATTACATTCAGATTATATTCAGTGCCCATATTGTATGAGGAAGTTTAATGAAACCGCATCCCAGCGACATGTTAATTTCTGCAAGGATCAATCATCTCGCCGAGTCTTTGATCCAGCCCAGACAGCAGCCAAACTGGCATCCAGAGGCCAGGTAAGTATCCCCCAAGTACTGGCTGTTGTGTCCTTGCATCCCTGGGGCAAGCAGGTAGAATTTGTTAGAGAACTTTAGTTACCCATTCTAAGAAGTACAAGGATCAAGAGAACTGATCACTGTCACTTGGCCCAACAGCAGTCAGCTTCTTTAGGGGGTGGATGCTTTCCAGCTAACAGCACCTTTGGGTGTTGTAGAAAAAATATTGCTAAAGTATTTGAAGCTTCTTTGGATGAAGACTTGGTTATGGAAATTGTGTTTCTATAGCATTAGGGCAGAACTCTTGAGTGGTTATCAGCCTTAACCACTCAGAAAAGAATTGTGAATCTGAGGAGAAACTGCTTGAGTAGGGAAGGCTGTTAGTAAGGCAACTACCCCACAGGCTGTGTGTTTTGCTCCATACAGCGAGGAGAGGGGTCTTCTGCCCTTTACTTAAAGCCACAGAATCAGCATGTTAAAGGGGTATATGGCTGAATGGAAGCAGCTGTTACAAATAGGTACAAATAGGTAAAATGACAACCTGAGGTGGAATCCAATATAGGGTTCTGGCACACAGAACTGGAGTCAGCAAACAGCTCGGTACACACAAAGGTCCCAAGGACATAACTTACACTATTGCATAAAATGATTTGTTTCATAAACATGGCTCAGACACCAAAATAAGATTAAGTTCGTCTGAATACTTTAAGAGTACGCAACATGTTTTGAAAGCTCTCTGTTAAATCCAGTATCTAATGGGATAGGATCCTTTCCAACAACAGTATATCACAGAGACTATGGATTCTGAGCTCTGTCGCCACATACATTAGAGCATTGAGAGAATTATTGACTATCTACTGTGTATTAGACACAGTGCTAAGTACTGGTTGAATTCAAAGAAGGAAGGGGACTTGGAAACAGTACGGTATGAGGTGGGGTAGCTGGCATCTGTATCAGGGCTGCAGAAGAAGATGACACCATGATTCCTGGAAGTCTTCAGAGGCGAGCAAACATTTTTCCCTTAAACATCAAAATGGGTTCACCAGCCTGGAGCTGGAGTTGGGAAGGATTTTATGTATAAAATCCTAAAGGATTTTATGGCTAAAGGCTAAAGCACAGCATACCTGTGGAAGAGTGAAAGGGACAGCAAGGTGGGCCAACAGATCTAGAAGGGCTTTTCCTCAAGCCAGTTCAGAGAGGAGGAAAAGAGGAATTTGTTGGATAGATGCCCTAAAATCTGAAGACAGCCAGGCCTGACAGCCTGGAAACAAGAAGTAGAAAGTCCCTGGGAAGCCAGGCAGTCCTGTTCCCACCTTGCCACCCTGTCTCTTCCTCTTGCTGTGCCTCTGCCACCTCCTCTCTCTGCAACTTGACTTTCTCAGCTCTTCTGTCCAGTCGTCTCTTATTGGCCCCGTGTGTCATCCTATAGGCAGTGTGGATTGGTTGAACGGTGGAGACTGGAATGACATGGAAGTGGCTTTTTAGAAAGATTACGTTTGCAATTACTGTTCAAGATGGATTGGCGAGAGGCTAGTAGGAGCCACAGCAACAGAGAAAGAGTGGGGGCCTGGGGCAGGAGGACCATGGGGTGTGTGTTAGGGGGTAGAATTTAAGAAATAATTGATGAGACTGAGAAAATGATTGGACATAGCGTGAAAGAGGGGATGAGGGTTGACAGTAAGGTTTTCAGCTCCAGAGCCTGGACAGTTAGAAATACTCTCTCTCAGAACACAGGAGGGAGGACATATATATTTGTTGAAGGGCAGTAGTTATGATAAATACAGTTTTAGAGATTCGGGCTTTACATCTGAGATAGCAAGGTAGAAAGAGCCAGGATTCTACAATCAGTAGTCAGAGTTTGAATTTCAGGTCTATAATTTACTATCTGTAGGTAAACTTGGCCAGGTTACTGGAATTCTTTGAGACTCACTTTAATCTGCAAAATGAGGTTTATGACGTGTGCCTTGCCGAGTCCTTGGGAGGGAGGACTGTAGATAACATAAGTGCCCAGCTCGGTGTCTCGCACATGGGGTTTCTCTGCCCTTCGCCTCTCCACATTGCTCCACGCTTCCTCCCCTCTCTACAAGCCTTTGCCTGTTGGTAGGATTGGCACCACAATTTTGGAGGGATTTGACTGCCATGGGCTTGAATTCAACCTAATTTTGGAGAAGTTTCTAAGTATAAATCTACCTACACCTGGTAAAGCAGTAGAGGACGAGTTACATTTCTGCAAATGGTTCTTCTAACCAGTCCACAAAAGTCAGTCGGCATTAGTGGGGCCAGGGAGAGCGCCGGGAAGCAGCAGATGACAAGTGTTTTTTCTTCCTGAAGAAGGCCAGCTGGCTGTCCTGAGTGTAGCCAGTGCCTTGGCCCCGTTCCTCCTCTTGTTTTCCAGAGCTAAGTGGTGACTGGGAACACAGAAGAAAAATTGCATGCTCTCTGAATTCCTTCCCTCGCTGTAGAGCGTATCTGAACAGCGGTATTTGCTTCCCTTGGGGCAGCTTCACCACGCCAGGGCCTTGCCTGATAGCGAAGCTTATTCAGAAATGGAGCAAGAAGGGAGGGGCCGCTTCAGTTTTGAAGGGCTGTTAATGGCACAGCCGAAATGCGTTTCTATTTTAAACATAATCAACTTTAAAAATGTGTCATCCCCTTAACCAAGAGAGACCAATATGGGCTTCTAAAAATAGATTTATTTGGATGGGGATGAGCTGCCTGCTGGAATCTCACAGCCACCCTTGTCCAAGCAAGACTTCCACTCAGAGTAACAGGTTATCTTTGCACTGTATTTTCCATGGACCCGGGGTTGGGATCAGTGGTGAGGTAAAAAGGAGGTTGTAAGAAGCCTTTTGATCCTTATTTTGTGTTGTTATAACTCTTCTGCTGCTGCTGCTGCTGCTGCTGCTCTGCAGGGAGGGGGATGGCATAGGGATGTTGGAATTTCATGCTTAAAACATTTGCTGCCTGCAAATCTCAGTTTTTCTTCTCGGTTCATGGTAAAGAACAAAATCATCTTCAAGCGTAATGAAAAAATAAAATATTCTATAACTATGTCCTTATTGGAATTAAGTGATTCCTTATGTCTCCATATAACTAATTTTATAGAGCAAAAACACCACCAACAACCTCAAGGGTTTGATTATGGAATGGAAGCTCCAAAATCCAGACATGGCTTTGAGCAACAGCAGGGAGGACAGGAACCTGAGGTGCCGGGTGTGTGCTTGTCCCCTTCCACTGGGAGTCCCTGCAGATGACTCCAATCTGCTGCTGGTTAAGTGGAAACAGCTTCACCTCCTACTTAGTACCTGAGGTTACAGAACTGTGCTGTGTGTGTTTCTCTGTAGGGTAGGGCTCAGATGAGTCCCAAAAAAGAGCCAACTGTTACAAGTGCCGTGGGAGCTTTGCTACAGAACAGAGCCCTGGAGGCCATGAGTGGGTTCTCAACCGAGCCAGGTGAGTCACAACAGGCATTTCAACTGTGGAATGATGGGGGATTAAAGGGGGCCACACTTGGCTTTGGGACTCATTGGTAGTCAGCAAAAGCTATATAATGACATTCACTGTTGCTTTTGGATACAAAGACATGTGGGTTTGTTCAAGGATAAAGCTGCTTTGCTAAGAGGGAATAGTTATTAAAGATTACACAAGTTTGACAATGTACAAAATCAAATCTGATCACAGCAGCAGGAGTCTAAGAGACTGAGAATGGTTACCATATCCTTGTAGTATAGCTTGAAGTCTTAAATTGATGCCCCCCAAATTGTTCTTTTTTGCTTAAGTTTGCTTTATTTTCTTGTACTTCCCTTTTTTTTTTTTTTAACTACACAAATTCTTAGTATTAAGATTGCTTTAGCTATATAGGGTCTTCTCTGGTTCCATACAAAGCATAGAATTATTTTTTCTAGATCTGTGAAAAATGTAGTTTTTTCTTCTCTCTTTCCTTAAACTTGTCAAGTTAGGTTGTTAATATGAGAGTTTTTTTAAGGTAAGCATTTATAGCTAAATTCCCCTTTAGTGTTGCTTTTACTGAGTTCATAAGTTTTGGTGTGTTGTATTTTGGGTTTCATTTGTCTCCAACTATTTTCTAATTTCTCTTGTGATTTATTCTTTGATCTATTGGTTGTTTAAGAGTGTATTGTTTAATCTCCACAAATTTGTGCATTTTCTGCCTTCACTTCTGCTTTATTCCATCATGGTTGGAGAAAGACTTTGTATGATATATATATCTTTTTCAATTTATTAAGACTTAATCTGTGGCCTGACATATGATCCATCCTGGAAAATGCCCATGTGTGCTTGAGAAGAATGTATATGCTGCTGTTATGTATAGTGTTTTCTATATGTCTGTTAGATCTAGTTGGTTTATTGTGTTAAGTCCTCTATTTTCTTAGGGTATTGAAGTCTCCAACTATTGTGGTAGAAGTGTCTATTTCTGCCTTCAATTTTGTTGAGATTTGCTTCATTTATTTGATGGTCTGTCATTAAGTTCATAATTATTGTATCTTCTTAATATATAACCTCTTATTAATATGTAATGTCCTTCTTTATCTGTTGTAACCTTATTGATTTAAAGTCTATTTTGTCTGGCAATAGTGTGGCCATTCCTGTTCTCTTTTGTTGCTATTTGTGTATCATTTCTTTTTCTACCCTTTCACTTTTAATCTATTTGTGTCTTTGGACCTAAAGTGAGTATCTTGTTGACAGCATATGTTGGACATATTTTGTCCATATTTCCAATCTCTGTCTTTTGGAGAGTTTAATCCATTTACATTGAAAGCAATTAGTAATTATGAGGAATGTCTGTCATTTTGCTATTTGTTTTTTATTTTATTTTATTTTATTTATTTATTTTAAGGCAGTCTCTTGCTCTGTTGTCTGGGCTAGAGTGCCGTGGCATCAGTCTAACTCACAGCAACCTCAAACCTCCTGGGCTCAAGCAATCCTCCTGCCTCAGCCTCTCAAGTAGCTGGGACTACAAGTGTGTGCCACTATACTTGACTAATTTTTTTATTTTTTGTAGAGAATGAGATCTTGCTGTGTTGCTCAGGCTAGTCTCAAATTCTTGACCTTGAGCAATCCTCCTTCCTTGGCCTCCCAAAGTGCTAGGATTACAGGTATTAGCTACTTTGCCCAGCCCGCTGTTTGTTTTCTATATGGCTTATAGTTTTTTGGCCCTTGTTTCTTACATTACTATCTTCTTTTGTGTTTAGTTAATTTTTTTGTAGTGAAACATTTAAATTCCTTTCTCATTTCCTCTTGTGTATATTCTGCAGCTATTTTCTTTGTGGTTACTATGAGAATTACATTTAATAGCCTAAAGTGATAACACTCTAATTTGAATTTATACCAGCTTATCTTCAGTAACATAGAAAAAAATCTCCTTCAATTGCTTCATCTTCACCCCTTTTGGTTATTGATGTCACCAAATTACATCTTTATACAAGTTGAGTATTCCTAATCTGATAATCTATAATTTATAATACTCTAAAATTCAAAACATTTTGAATACCAACATGATGCTAAAAGGAAATACTCATTGGAGCATTTCAGATTTTGGATTATGGATGGTCAACCAGTAAGTATAATGCACACTATTCCAAAATTCAAAAAAATCTGAAGTCTGAAACATTCTGCTCCCAAACATTTCAGATAAGGGATATTCAACCTGTACATTGTATACCCCAAAACATTAATAATTCTTGTAAATTCATTAGTTTCTTAAATTATGTATAAAATGAAATGTGGAGTTATAAGCCAGAGTTATAATACAAACTTTTAGATATAATACAAACTAATCACTGTTTTTTTAATAAAAGTACTAATCTCTTAAACCATGTAGAAAACAAAAAAATGGAGTTATAAATTACTGTTATAATAATTCTAGCTTTTATAATGGCCCATGTATTTACTTGGCCATTTACTTAGATCTTCATTTCTTCATATAGCTTCAAACTGCTATCTGTTATCCTCTCATTTAACTCTGTAGAACTCCATTGAGCATTTCTCAGGGCAGGTCTCGTGATAATGAACTCCTTCGACTTTTATTTATCTGGAAATGTCTTAATTTCTCACTCACTTTTGAAGGACAATTTGCCTATTTATGGGATTCTCAGTTGACAGTTTTTTTCTTGTATCACTTTGAATATATTGGTCCACTGTCTTCTAGCCTCCAAAGTTTCTGATGAGAAATCTGCTGATAATTTTATTAAGGATCCCTTGTATGTGATAGTCACTTCCCTCTTGCTGCAGTTAAGATTCTTTGTCTTTTGAAAGTTTGATTATAATGTGTCTCAATGTTGGTCTTTTTGCATTCATTTTGGAGTTTCTTGTGCTTCTTGAATGTTTATGGTCATGTCTTTTATTAGATTTGGGAAGTTTTCAGCCTTTATTTCTTCAAATATTCCCTTGCTTTTTTCTCTTTCTCTTTTTGGGATTCCTACAATGGACGTGTTGGTTTGCTTGATGGTGTTCCAAAGGTCCCTTAGGCTCTGTTCATTTTTCCTCAATCTTTTTTCTTTCTATTCCTCAGACTCAATAATTTTCATTGTGCTGTCTTCAAGTTTGCAGATTGTTTCTTCTTCCTGCTCAGGTATGTCCTTGAACCCTTCTAATAAGTGTTTCTTTCAGTTTTTGTTTTTTCAGCTCCAGAATGTTTTTGATTTCTTTTCAGGATTTCTCTTTATTAATAATTCTATATTGTTCATACATCATTTTCTTGATTTTCTTCACATAGTCCTTTAGTTCTTTGAGGATATTTAAGATAGTTGTTTAAAAGTCTTTGTCTAGTAGATGTGTTTAGTAGATCTGTCATCAGGCCTTTTTTAGGGACAGTTTCTGTTGATTCATTTTTTTCTTCTTTGAATGGGATATACTTTCCTGTTTCTTTGTATGACTTGTTATATTTTTTGTTGTTGAAAACTGGATGTTTAAATCTAATAATGTGGAAACTGTGGAGATCAGATTCTCCCCCTTCTCTAGGATTTGCTGGGTTTTGTTATTGTTTTTGGTTTTGGCTTTATTTCTGCAGACTGTCTCTGTGCTAAGGATAAGCATGAAATGACAATAGGTCTTTTTGAGCCTATGTCTTTCCCTAGGTTTGTGTGTTAACTTTATAATATTCCCCATATATGCAGTTGTTTTTGACTATTGTAGTTTTTAATATCTGGTTTCCAAAAGGGGGGAAAGACCAAAATGAAGGATGAGGAAGAGTACCGGCCCTTCAGTTCCTCTGGAAGTCATTTCAGCCAGAGGAGGAGCATGCAACAGTGGGGGGAGGTGCAGCAACAATGGCCACCTGTCTCTTTGTCTGTGCCTCTTTGATCAGTGGGAACAATCAGTGATCCAGAGCATAGATCCCTGATATTTAAAGGACAGGGTTCTTATTGCCTACCACAGCTCCCCTAAACCATGTGCAGATTGATCCAGGAACATGTACACAGCTGCCTGCCACATGGCTGAAGGGTGAGGGATATGTAGCTGCTACTGTGCTAAGAGCTGAAATTGATGAAATGAACTGCATTTTACTGTCCCAGCCTTCCCTTGCATGTTGCAAGCCTTCAATAGACTCCAGAGTTCCAAAATAGTTACATCAAACAGATGCTGCCAGTGCAGTTGGTGTCTATAGGTGGGCAGACAGATGCCTGGTGTTTCCTACTCTGCCATCTTTTCAGAATTCTGACCAGTCATTAGTTTTTTCACGATCTGTGAAAACTTAACAATGAGGTGGATTTTAGTTTTCACTAAGAATTCAAACTGTATGTGTATCCATTTGGCCAAACTTTCACTAATAAGCTCTTTTTCTAAAGTATAATGGTTAGCATTCTTCAGAAAAAACAATTTCTTTATATTATGGTTTCTCTTCTTATTTTTTAGAATATATATTGTAATGCTTAAAGGAGTGGAAAGTACTTTTTAAAGTTCAAGGTCAAAGCTTATTTGCCATGAGGGAATATTAATGTATAAGGATTAGGTAACTGTGATAGTGTTCAAAGTCAAATCAGTACCAGGGTTATACAACCATTGGTCTCTCTGATCTCTAGTACACTTAGAAAGATATTGGGAATGGTTAAGCACAGCATGTCAGGATGGAATGTTAAAAATCTTTAAAGTAGCAAACAAGACATAAATGAAGTACTATGTCCTGCTATGTGATGTCAGGCAGAACACTGTAAAGACGCCATTCTAGTACATCAGAAAATAGATTAGTAGGCCAGTTAAGTCTCAGCAAAATGGTATTATGTTTGCTCTTGACTAGCTGATGGTTATAACCTCTGTGGTGTTACTAACTAAAAGGCAAAGTTCTTAAAATGGCCCACACTAGATTCTATAATACCATCTGAGCTCAACTTCTATTGTTCCTTCCCAGTCCTGCTCCCACTGCAGTGGCCTGTGTTGTCCCTTGACGGTAATGGGCAATGGGCGTGTACACTCCTGCCTCAGGGGCCTTCCTCTGGCTGCTCCCTCTGAGGAAAACAAAAACACTCTTCTGCTAATCTGCACTGCTCACTCATTCACTTCCTCCAGTTCTTTTCTGAAGTGTCACCTTTTCTCCCCATCCTCTGTATTTAAAATTAGCCAAGCCTTCCCTAACTCCTTTGTAGTTTTTTTCCCCATAGCATTTATTGCCTTCTAATATCCAAATATATATATAACTCATTTTATCTCCTCCAACAACAACAAAAAGATGGAATGAAAGTGTCTAGAAGGCAGGAAATTGTCTACGATATCTTTTTTGTTTTTTTAGAGACAGGGTCTCTGTCACTGAGGTGGGAGTGCAGTGGTGTCATCATAGCTCACTGTAACCTCCAACTCCTGGGCTCAAGCAGCCTTTGGCCTCAGCCTCCTTACTAGCTGGGAGTACAGGTGTGCACCACCATGGTTGGCTAATTTTAAAAATTTTGTGTAGAGACGGGGCCTTACCATGTTGCCCAGGCTGGTCTCAAAATCCTGGCCTTAAGCAATCCTCCCACCTGGGCCTCCCAAAGTACTGGGATTATAGGTGTGATCCAGCACACCCAGCCTTCTTTTTTTATTATACTGCAATATCCCTACTTTAGAACTGTTTGTGGCACAAAGGAGGTACTCAATAAATACTTGTTGAATGAAATATATGAAAGAAAGTGGAAATCTTGATTCTGTAATTTCTCACGTAAATTATTGGCATGTGAATAGAATTGTCATGTTAATTAGTTTTAGGAGATAGCTTTTTGTTTCATTCCAGGCTTAAGATGCTTTTTAAATTTAATTTCTTATTCTTTCCTGTGGTCTTACTTGCTTATATTTAAAAATAAGATTGGTAGGGTTAGTGTGCCTTTAAATTAGTCACATGTTCTTTTGAGCCCTTGCAGGGAGGAAGCAGAAGGGTACTGAGGGAAGGTGAATTATCAAAAATGTTTAAGACTTGGAGAAAAGTACCAAATGGCTTTCATTGATGTGAACAGGTCCATGCACGAGTCAGAATCACATCTAGTGTCCATTCCTTTGTTATGGTCTCCATAAGTTTATTTGTAATATGAGGGTCCTTTTAAAATTGATACATAATATTTATACATATTTATGAGGTACATGTGGTATTTCGATACATGCATATAATGTGCAACGATCAAATCAGACTATTTAGGATATTTATCCTCTTGAGCATTTATCATTTCTTTGTTTGGGGAACATTTCAAATCCTCTCTTCTAGTTAGTTTGAAATATACAATATATTGTTGTTAACTATAGCTACCCTATTCTGCTATCAAACACTAGAGTTTATTCCATCTGTAAAATTGTATGTTTGTACATATAATCAACCTCACTTCATCCTCCACCCCCATACCCTTCCTAGCCTTTGGTAACTATCATTCTACTTTCTACCTCCATGAGATCAACTTTTTTAGCTCCTTCATATGAATGAGAACATGGAGAATTTGTCTGTGTCTGGTTTATTTCACTTGACATAATGACCTCTAGTCTCATCCATGTTGTTGCAAATGGCAAGATTTCATTCTTTTTTTGTGGCTGAATGGTATCCCATTGTGTATATGTACCAGATTTTCTTTATCCATTCATCCACTGATGGACATGTACTTAGGTTGATTCCATCTCATGGCTATTGCCAGGTATCCCTGGGAAAAGCCACATATTGGCTATTGTAACCCTTACAATAAACATAGGGGTACAGATATCCCTTTAATATACTGATTTCCTTTGGATAAATACCTAGTAGTGGGATTGGTAGATCATATGGTAGTTCTTCTTTTAGTTTTTTGAGAAACCTCCATTCTGTTTTCCATAATGTCTGTACTAATTTACATTCCCACCAACACTATATAAGAGTTCCCTTTTCTCCACATTCTTAACAGAAATATTTTCTGTCTTTTTGATAATAGTCATTCTAATTGGGGTGACATGATATCTCATTGTGTTTTTTTTTTTTTTTTTTTTAGAGACAGAGTCTTGCTTTGTTGCCCAGGCTAGAGTGAGTGCCATGGCGTCAGCCTAGCTCACAGCAACCTCAAACTCCTGGGCTCAAGCGATCCTTCTGTCTCAGCCTCCCAAGTAGCTGGGACTACAGGCATGAGCCACCATGCCCCGCTAATTTTTTCTATATATATATTAGTTGGCCAATTAGTTTCTTTCTATTTATAGTAGAGACGGGGTCTCGCTCTTGCTCAGGCTGGTTTCGAACTCCCGACCTCGAGCAATCCGCCCGCCTCAGCCTCCCAGAGAGCTAGGATTACAGGCGTGAGCCACCGCGCCCGGCTTCATTGTGTTTTTGATTTGCATTTCTCTGATGATTAGTGATGGCGAGCATTTTTTCATGTATCTGTTGGCCATTTGTATGTCTGTTTCTAGGCACTTTAAATTAGCCTGCCTAAAATTTCTTTTGAGAAATAGCATTTTAAAAAATTATGTAAGAAACTCATGCTTATTGTAGAAGATATTAGAAAATGGGGGGAAAATATTCAGAAAAAAATTACTCGTAATTTCATTATCCTAAATCTGTGGTTCCCAATGCCCGTTCTGCGGCCTGTTAGGGACCAGGCCACAGAGCTCTGCTGTGCCTCCCAACCCTTTCATCCATGGAAAATTGTCTTCCATGAAACTTAGGAATGGCAGAGGGAGCAAGCAAAGCTTTGGCTTTGCTGTTCTCTTATCGTTGGCATCACTGCCTGAGCTCCACCTGCCCCCACCAACCAACCCCTGCCCGTGGAAAAATTGTCTTCTATGAAACCAATCCCTGTTGCCAAAAAGGTTGGGGACTGCTGCCCTAAATGACCACTGTTAACATTGATTTTTTTTCCCCAGTTTTTTTCTATTCATCCTCTTCCTTTTATGTTTTCCTTTTAGTAAAGTTAGAATCATTGTCTATGTACAGTTACACGTGCTGATTTTTTTTTTTCAACTAACATTTTTGAGTGTTTTTCTATGGCAGAAGAGTTTCTTTGAAAGCACAGTATCATCACAGGAATATAATTTAACTCATTCAGCTGTTTTTCTGATGTTGAACAGATAGACTGCTTCTACTTTTTTGCTATATTAAATAAATCTCTTATTCATGAGCAGTAGCCCCCACTTACACTGGGCACTCTTCCAAGTGCTTTGTTTATGAACTCAATCCTCACCATAGCACTAGGAGGTCAACGTGTACTATTCATAACTCTGTTTTACAGGCAAGAAAGCACAGAGAGGTTAAGCGACGTGGACAAGCAACTTAACAGGAAATGGCAGAGTGTGTCCCCAAAGCATTGACTGCTTTGGAAAACTGGGTCCAAAAATATAAATATTGAGGCTATAGATATGTATTAGGAAATTGTTTTAGGAAAAGGTGTGGGTCTTCTTGCATTCTCACAAAGATTCTAAGATCTTTAGAATCTTTTAGATGGGCCTAGTCAGCAAATAAATACTGATGGCAATTATCTGGAGGCTTTTGGTATACGAGTGATGAATTTACTGGGAATGTACTACGGAGAAGCAGCTTCTCAGGTACCTTTAAACAGAGACTAAAATCACTATGAAAATGTTGTTCTGGGTTCTATACCTGCATTATTTCATATATGTAGCAGTGAATTGCATTTATACAGCTGTGTTGGCAAGGCCTCTGCTTTTATTTCTGGAGCCAGTAGATTTTTATCAGGGTAAGCATCTTATCCACACTAGCTCCCCTACTTCTTTACCTAATTTAATTGTGTAGCAAATCTAATGAGTATTGAAGTGTCAGTTGCTGATTCTTTGGAAGAATTAAAACCTGTGTATCTTTGGGTAAAACTTTACACTGAAAGCTCTTTCTATTCCTATATCCTTTGATAGTGTGATTCATAATTTCCTTGTTATGGGCCCTACATAAAGCACTTGAGTAGAAAGGAAGCCTCTAGGACAGAGGAGGCTTGTTCCTTTTTACAAAAAAGGACTTCCCTGAGAACCCTATCCCATTCCCTGTGGTCAAAGCTAGACTGTGGTGTGATGTGCCCACGTCCATAAACATTTGCTTCTCCACACCTAACGGTGCTGCAGGGCACAAAGGGAAGAATACTATTTGTGGAACTCGTCCATGGCCACATACATAACCCCTGGGAGGGCAGGCGTCCTATGCTTCCACGAGGCTTCTAAAACCCCTTGTTTTGTATAGAGCTTGCAAAGAATTGTGAAGATGCAAAATGTCAGGGTACATTTTGGAAGCCAGGGCAGCAGTGGGGAGGGATGTTAAGAGTCATAGTGTCTCAATGGTGGGTCACCAGAGGTGGAGGTTCAAAGTCCATGGGTGAGCAGAGGGGAGAAGGCACCGGAGACAGTCCCCTTTTTCCTTCTTATTTGGCCCAGGCCAGAGAGTGGGGTATTTGTCTGTAGCTAACTCCTTTTTCCCAAAAAGGGAAGAATAGTGTTTTGAATCCAATGTGGAGATTTCACAATCATTTTTTTTTTTTTTTTAGTAATGTCCCGCTTTGAGATAATAACAAATCTGTTTATGTTTGCAAAGGATCAGCTATGGACACTGCTTCCGGAGCAAAACCCAGACAAGGATTTAATAAATCTTCTAAAAAAGATTAACTCCTAGAGGCTAGGTAAGGAACAAAAAAAACAACCTCTAATCCAAATGCTGCTGATCATCTAATGTGCAAAATACAGTGAATGGCCCTTTGAGAGAATGGATCCACAACAGGTGAACCAGAGAGAAAGGTTGGCAAACCCTGAGTTGGGTTAACAAGTTGTATGTTCTCGAAACTTACTCTTCCATTAAACATACAGTTTGAAAAGGTTATTCGGTTTTTGATTCATGACTTTATAGGAAAGGGGAATTGTTCTTCACTTTTGATCTGGAAGGCCTATTGCCTTGTCCCTTTTTCCAAACACATTACCCCAAAAAGAATAGTTCACTGAGATTGTGAATTGTTTGTAAAACAATTAAAAATCTAAAGAGGCCTACTTAAATGCTGTCAATGTGGAATCAATGAAGTTCTAAAGTAAATGTCTTTTCTTTCTGCTTTCAGACTGGCTCCCTGAACCTCATCAGCCTGGATGGTTGTATACCCAGGAAAGCCACCTATAGGGAAGGGACAGTAGAGGTGATGTCTGTTTACACACCCATGACTCTTTTTGAGGCATTGCTTAGAATAAGTAAAACTAGCTTCAAATTTTCTCCTTACTTACCCCCTTCAAAAATTTCAAAACAAAACCATTAAATACATCAACCTGTATGATAATGCTTGCTTTAAAGATTTACTTGAAGGTTTTTAATTGGACATTTAATAGGTTTTTAGAGATAACGTTGCTTTGATGCTAGAACCTTTTAGTAAGATCGTCATTGGAGTACTAGCATTATTTACTGACCAGGAAGGTCATTAGTAACTAGCTTCATTTTATAAAATAACTGTGAAATCCCAGTTTTGATATTGGCATCTAATAAATATTAACTATAATTAGTTACTGCACCTAATTTAAGTGGTCATCTATGTACCATGTAGAATCTTCTCTCATATACCAGTCACACAGACTGTATTTTTTGGGAAACACTGAAATGGAGGAGAAAAGGTTGCAAAAACCTTCCATCCTGTTCTGATTCAAAGTGCATTGGTGGTACGGTGGCAAGCATAGCTGCCTTCCAGAAACCTTCCATCCTGTGGGACGAACGCTCTAAGTGAGCTCAAGCTATTTATTTATCATGGCCAAATCAGAAGTCACCTGTTCATTTCTCTTCCCATTGGTTTATACGGCTCTGTTGGGAGAAAGTGACTCAGCTATCCCTTCTGTTTGCAGTCTTTAGGGGCAATGAACTTCTTTTTGTAGAGTCATTTATGCTTAACTCATACTTTATAATCCGAGAACTTTAAGCCCCCCCCACACACACACTTTTAGTGTAAATTTAAGTAGGAGAATCCCAGCCTACCTCCATTTGCAGTGCAAACATCTAAAATTCTTACAACTTCTATTTTGTAGGTAAAATGGTGTGTTTTGTGCTCAGGACAATCAGGTGTGTGTTTTAGAACTGATGGGAGACTGTATCTAGCCATGTAAAAGTATGTGTGGAAGCTTCTATAAATGGAGTTTTGGCTGAAGTAAGCTATACTTTATCCCCTCTTGCTTGGGAAGATTGTCCCCCTCCCCAGTGGAAAGAGGGGATATGGGAAGGACTTAGGCAGCCCAGAGCAGTGGGTTCCTGCTGATAAAGTAACCTAGATCACTTTGTCATCTTATGGCCTCCCCTCTGGTTCAGCTGTAGGTTAAGGACTGCAATCTGACAGTGGGTCCCATGGTTTAAGCTTCACTTTGTTGGTTGCACGTGCTACAGCCCAGCCCTCACGGGCACTGGTGTCCTAGGAACCAGGGGACAGGGTTGTCTATGCCTGGCCAGTGGGCTGCTTGGATGGTAAACGAACTCAAGGTCTCCCTTTACCTCCCTCCACCCTATTTAGATGTAAAACCAACAGGCCTGTCAAACTTAAGAGGCATATTACTTTCTAAAGAAATCCCAGTAAGGAATAAGTAAATTTCTAATTTGTACTAGAAATGAATGGTAAACACCATTCTAAGACTGGATCCTGGTAGTGATTATTCTGACCTAAACATTAGAAATGAATTACATCACACTAAAGAAGGATTTAGAATATTATACAGTATTTTTAGCTATAATTATTCTACTTGAAAAAGGTAAAATTATCCAGAGATGTTAGAGTTTCTGTGAGGAAGTAATGACCAGGAGGGGGCAGGAAATGTTTTCTATCTTGATCTGAGTGTATTTGTTCATGTCCTTGCAGGTATAGGTATATGTAAAGTTAATCAAGTCATACTGCAATTTTGAAAAGTTTATTATATGTAAGATACACGTTTACAGAAAAGCAAGCCTCTAAAAAGACAAAGGAGCTTTAGCAAAAATTAGGTTTTACATTTTTAAAACTTATCAATATACCAAAATTCACGAGATACATTATAGTTATTTTATAATGTAATCCTCTGAATAAATGCTAATGACTTAAACTGAATTACAAATGCACTTATTTACTGGTGATTAAACAATACTTAGGAACTTAAGCAGCTTGAGTAGCTGTTTAAGCTAGATAGGGCAAGAAAATTCTTGTTTAATATATATATTTTAATTCCAGTAATAGTCTTAAATTCCTGTTAAAATATAATCAATATTAAAGTCAGCAAAATGCCTTTGACTGACACCAGCACTATTTTATCATTTAGACTGGTTACACAGTGATTTTTTTTTTCTGTCAGAAGTAACTGACAACCAGTTTAGTCCTTAAGATAAATGAATTGATAACTCACATTGCAGCATCTTGTGGAAAATACTCAACTACATTTAAATGCTTTTTTAAAATGGAGAAAGATATTGTTCCACAAGAAATTGTTTACGTAAAACTACAGGTTGGCTACAGTAATAGTAACTAAACTACATCCAACCCTGAAGGTACAAACATCCCTGACAAGAAATACACAGCCCAGTTGTAATATACCACATAAAGGTTATAGTCTCATTTTTAAAAATTCTCCCAATTTGGAGACATCCAAACCTTTCCATAGTTCCCTTTCCTAGGCAGTGCCACAAAGTTATTTAGTTAACATTATGATCATGGCTTACAATTAAATTCCACATGACAAACACTTATATATAGCAGCCGTCATTTTGGATGTTGCCTATGACAATATTTGCAGTTTGATTAAAGAACACGTGTTCATTACATTTGGTACAAAGCATGAACACACTTCACGACAGATTGGCACGATACAGGCAGTTCAAGAATTCTCTCAGCTCAAGCCAGTCATCGCTGAATAAGCCATATTCTCAGGCTTGTTTTCCAAATCTTTCCTTGTATTATAACTGACGTCCTAAAATGCTTCTTAAAACATCTTCCACGATAAGAAAATATGCTTTAAAAAGCTTAGCGGAATGCGTGGTGGAAATGGGGCAGGATGGCAGAGCCAGTGCCAGTTGAGAAGACATGGGGGGCAGGGGGGAGGGGGAGCTGACCCAGGCTCATGGTGCCCATGGCTAGTGGGGGTTCCTTCTGCTGTTGCTGCCCCAGACAGCTTAACATGCTGGGCAGAGATTCCCCTGGCCCCAGAGTGAGAGTGCTATTCCCATAGCCATTCTGGGTAGTGGGAGGCGGCAGCTGCCAGAAACCCAACAGGGGGGACAGGTCGAGAGAGGCAGGTAGTGTGAGGTTCACGGCATCTGCAGGCAGCTCCCTGGGCATGTTTATTTTACCAGCACTTGCGTTCACCAGATCAAAACTGGGGCTGAGCTTGGGAGGTGACAGAGTCTCTTGCAGCGGCAAGTCCTCGAACAAATTGATATTGCAAAACCCTTTAGGATCTGCTTTGAGGGGCAGGCTTGCAAGTGGGGTGGAGTATGAGGTAGAAGTGGTGTTGTGGTTGGGCAGGGCTGCAGGAGAGCCAGGTGACACCGAGGGGTACAGGGAGGCGAGGGGCTCTAGCAGCAGCTGAATAGGCGGGGTGGCTTGCTCTGGGGGGCTGAGGGTGAAGCTGTGGACCTCAGCCGGCAAGCTACTTGCAAGCCCGCTCTGGGCAGACGCTCCTATGGGGAAAGGAGACAACGGGGCAGCCTTCAGTTGAAACGGAGGCGAGATGGGGTAGAAGGTGCTCAGAAGGTCTCCGGTCTGCAGATTCTCTTTCATCAGCTCCTGGGAGTGTGTCTTCTTGGTATGCCGGGTGAGGTGGTCCTTGCGCCCAAATCTCTGGGCGCAGAATTGGCACAGGAAGTCCTTGCACCCTGTGTGGACCACCAGGTGGCGTCGCACATCCTTCCGGGTGTAGAAGCATCTTTCACAGTGGTCGCACTGGTGCTTCTTTTCCTTGGTTCCACTAGGGGGCTTTTCTTCTGCATGGGCTTTGAGGTGATCCAGCAGCACCTCGGTGCTCCCTAGCTCCAGGGCACAGACCCCGCATGTGAGGTCGCCACTGCTGGCCGCGTGGAGGGCTAGGTGCCTCTTATAGCCCAGCACGGTGTTGTACTTCTTCCCACACTCACACCCAAAGGCCATTTTGTTGGGGCCGTGGGTCTGGAGGTGGTTTTTCAGGTGGTCTTTCCGGTTGAACGTCTTCTTACAGTGAGCACACTGGTGAGATTTCTGGGGAGAATGCGTAGCCATGTGCCTGGGGGAGAAGGAAAGTTTCACGATAGAGAGTTGTTTTAAAAAAAGGTTTAGAAACAATATTATAACAAATTATATTAATAGTTTTCTCTGGGGTTTGGTATGATTTTCACTCTAAAAATACTTTTCTGTTCTTTCCAAATGCCTAAAAGTGTATAATTAGAAATCTATATACATTAAGAATATTCTTGTATAGGTGTGAAAATTGCAGCTATGACTTTAAGAGTGCTTGTTTTTCAAACAAATGCAAGTACACAAATTTGATTTGTAAGATCACAAATATGTGATCATGAAATATATGTTTCATGAAATATATGAACAAGTTAAATGGGTCTTCTATACTCTTTGGAAATTCCTAAATTTCCAAAAATGCCCCAATTTGCCTTTTCTACACCAGCCCCACCCCCAGATTTAGGTTAGGAATAACATGGTCTCTGGCACAAAAAGTTCGGGCCACAGACACATGACTCTTAGAAAGTCTATCCTTAACCTCAGAGAAAGTGTCTAATGCAGCCCCCCCCCCTCGCTCTGCACTCGGCCTTGTGCCTCCCGCGAGAGCTTCAGAGCTTCGCACGTCCTGGTTTCTCCTACGTCCCTCTCAGCCATCGTCGCAGATGTGTGTCGCCTCTACTGCCATTTCTTCACCTTCCCTCTTAGACATCAACCCACTTCCTGGAGGTCACTGGTAACTTCACTGGCAAATTCAAAGGGACTTTTTTTAGAAAGACTAAGCTGCTACTCCTAACAACATTTATAAGTCTGTCTTCAACCAGGGCTTCGCGGACAAAGCAATTCTAATCAATCCAGAATTTCAAAACAGCTATTTTATAGTTATGTTTATAAAGCACAAATTAGTTTTGGAAAGCCATCACAACTCCTTCATCTCTGTCATAGTTCAATTGAATTCCTAAAATCTAAACTCCACATTGGTTTTTAAAACCAATGATATAAGGATATATCAGTGATATAAGGAACTCAGTGATATAAGGAAACCCAGGGTTTGTCAACTCTAAAGCCTCATTTTAATAACTAAACCACCAAGCACCATATGTTAGTATTTTTTATAAATAGAATCCTTCGTTATAGCTTACAGGTACAACATAGATTGCTTCCTACCCCTTATGACACTTACCTCCTTGAGGTGTTTTGTTACTGGAAACTAAAGCTGGTCCTACCGACTATTTAAATGCAATTGTACCCTGTGAGTTTTGAAATTAGATACAAAAGAATTTCTAACAACCCATTCTAATAAAAAGAGAGGATCTAAGACTCTGTTTGTCAATAGTGTACTTAATTATACCTTTCATCTAGCCCCCTACCCTACATTGTCCATTCCCAATCCTTTCCTAGAGGTAGAATTGGTAGGTGGTCTATAAATAGCAGCTGTTTAGAAGACAGTGGAGGTCCCCACTAAGAGACTAGAAGCCCATTAAAAAATATATAAAGCTGGTCTGAATCCAACTGTCTTTTTTTCCTTTAAAGTAAAATCTCATACCTCCTTTCTTTCTCCCTTCAAAAAAACAGCCTACTGGCATCCCTTCCCTTCCGACCAGGACACGACAGCTCAGCACACCTATAACATGGTGGTGCTGTAAGACCCAGACAAGAACCAGTACAACAAGAATTGCAGAAATCTGAATTATGCTGACGTCTCCAAATTCACCGGCTGCAGAAAGGGTTTTTAAAGCATGTTAGAGGGCAGATAGCCATGTTGTTCTACAAAGATGTGCAGATATATCTCACAGGAATAAATATGAAGGGGAGCTGGCTTACAAACTTGGTATTTAAACCATTTTCTGTTTGGCCCACTACTAGTGAACAGGACCCCAAAAGCACTGTCCTGGGTCTTCTATTCTTGCTTCTAATTCCCTTTCTTTGTGGAGGATTTTCATCGGATTCGATTTCATTTATCATCCGTGGGTGGATCAATACCAGGTTAACAACTCTGGACCTGGTATTCCCTACCTACTTTTTCCTGACCTATGCCTGTACTAGCTACGAGTGGGACGCAGGTGGACACAACTAGTACTTGAGCAAGACTACACACCTTTCACATTTCACCAGCTCCCACCTCTCTGAAGTTGAGTCTTTCCCTTGCCTGGCATCCAATTCTTCCCCTTTTAATTTATCCCTTACTTACCTAGGCAACAGTCCCAATCCAGAAACATTATCTAGCTAAAATAACGTCAACAACTTGTTTCCTCTCCGCAACTTCCCTTCTTTCCTCACAACCCATGAAACCACTAGTTTTAGTATGTCCTCAAGTCGGTGCCAAGTACCACCATCTTTGGATGTCATCTGGAGCACGTCCATGATCTTATTGGAATTCTTCAGGGGTGACTGTCCATGTGAGACTTCCAACCATGGCCTTCCGTCTGCCCTGACAAATCATCTCTTCTTGCGCTTTGCTATTTCCACCCAACTGGCTTCATTATTTGCCGTGCCGGCCCGCATTCTCTCTTCTGATTATTTTCTCCTTCAACCTCCGCTTATAAAATGGAGCTTACGTTGCAATTGATGGGCAAAGGGACTGGATGCTGCACTATCATCTTCATTTTTAAAGCCCAAAGCATCCTGCCAGCTCTCACTCTTCCATTCCTTGATTAGATCACTGCCTCAGGCCAGAGAGGCAGGAAACGTGGGGGCTGTGGCAGGGAAGGCCTTCTTGCACAAAGTGCACGGCGATTCTCTTTTTGCCTCACTTCATAATGAACAAGTCATTTCCCTTGCTCAGAACCGCCACCTCCGAAATACTGCGTAAGACATCTTCAGTGCAGTTTACCCCGGTATAGTCATCCCTTGGTAGACAAGGGGGATCGGTTCCAGGACCCCTCAAACCCCTATCTGTGCATACTCAAGTCCTGCAGTCGGCTCTGAGGACCCCGTGTGTAAGTAAAGTCAGCCCTCCATAGATGCAGGTTTCAGGTTTTACACCCCAATAATACCGTATCATCCATCTGCATTTTGTTGGAAAAAATTCACATGTAAGTGAATGCAGTTCAAACTCATGTCGTTCAAGGGTCAACTGTAATCCCAACTAATTCTACTCGTTCCAATCTGTTAGTTCCACTGTCTTTTCTAAATGTTTCTCCTGTATGTGTTTCCGTCTACATCCACAGTTAGAGTCCCATCACTGCAGCCCACTGCTCTCAACGTCTGGGTGAGGATGCCAACTCTGTGTACACAGGAGATGCAAAACAGGGAGCCTCTGCGACAAAATCGGTGCACGCGGCAGGCACGCTATACTTCTATTTAGGACAACTACAGAGTGGTCTATGCACAGAGGGCATCTGAACTTTAAAATACCTAGCATTTGCAGGCTTATTTTAAAAATCAACTGATATTACATTATCTACAGCACTGATATTCTTAAGGACCAAGAGCATAATTTAAATCATCTTTGCAACTCTTTCAAGTACCTTCCCCTCCAAGGGTACTCCAAGATTTAATAATGGGGTCTATGTTAATACCATTCAGATGGAAAGTCTTACTTGCTAAATTCTGACACTCTTTTATGCATTTATTATCGCAGATGTATGTGAGCATTCTGAAAGTCGAGACCTTTAAAGTTCATTTCGTGAAGATTAGCAGCAAATGGCAGGTATCAAAAGAAGTGCCCATTAGTGGGAGTCCTGTGCGTGCGGCTCTGAGGGGGCTGCAGGCGGTGTGGCTTCTGTACACGAGTCTTCCCTATGACATTGTCAAAATCCTCTGGAAGCAGAAACTACATCTCAGATATTCATTTCTCTCATGGAAGTGAGTACCTAATAGGCACTCAACTTAGATTAAATGTAGATTTTTAAAAAAGACTCATTTATTAAAACAGTGGTTTTTAAACTCTGGTGTATCATGGGTACCTTAACAAATCTGACTGAATGCACATCCTGAGCATCTGTCTACCCAGTTGAAGTCCACTTATCAGGGTGGCTTTTCAACCCAACTTAAACTGCTCCCAAAGCTTACACTTGGAGACGTCTCCCTCCTATATTCATTCTCAGGACCTGGACTCTTCCACCAGGTTTCAAATCAGTCTACCTGCCTCTTCCTCAAATTACTACCAGGGTCCTCTTTCAAACATCCCAATCAAATCCTGTGACTTCACTGCTTAGACTCACTAGAACAAACCAAACCCTTTCACAGGCCATGGGCGTGGCCCATCATGCACCGCAGCCTTCTTCCTGCACTTCCAGCCTCACCTGCTCCTGGGGTGCCGCCCTCTGCACGTGAAAGGCTCGTGCCCCCTCACCACCTCCTTTTCATTCTTGAATGTCACAGGATGAGATAGTCCCCTTACGAGAAGCCTTCCTAGGTTTCCTCAAGCAGTAAAGAACTGCCTCCACCTGCATAGCTCTGTCAAAACACTGAGGTTACATTTTACTTGTGCTTTTCCTGACTATCTCCTGAGCCATGGGCCTTTTCATTTTTCTGTTCTCAGGTCTGGTATAGTGTAGGTGCACAAGAAATACCTGTTGACACAATGAACTGATACCGTACAGCAAAACCATCACATAAAACCACAAGAATCCTTGGAGATACAGCTTTAAAGAATCCCTAAAAGGCTAAAATGCATCCATATGCTGCATCTCTTCCCCCTTACAGAGTGTGGTCTGAGGACTGGAAACGCCAAGGACCTTGTAAAAGTGCATACCTCTTCTAAAGGCTCTCACCTCATCAGTTTGTATCTGGAAACAAAGGCTTTGCCACAGTCGGGCTGCTCACATTTGTGCGGCCGCTCCCTGGAGTGGGAATAATTGTGGACAGTGAGCTTCCCCAGGGTGAGGAACGTCTTGCCGCAAATCTGACAGGAGAACGCGGCCATGGGTTTTGCTTCTCACACTTTCCTTTTCAGATGCACCGATCAAATGCTCTGCCACCTAGGCACGCCTGGAAGGCCGGGCCCGGCCACATCAGCAGAGTCACTGCGGCTGAGCTCCAGACCACGGCAGGGGCAGCACCCGTGGGCCTGGCTCTGCCACCCAGACACGGGCCACGGTTCACGGGTCACTATCAGCTTTGCTTCCTGCTTTCCCACACCCCAGTTTATGCGCAGTCTCAAGCTGGGGGCAGAAAGTCTGAGGCACAGACAAGATTCACAGGCAGAAAGGTACTTTGCGGCACTGGAGCTGGGGCGTGGCTGCGATCACCGGATTGTCTGTGGAGAGAAGAGGAACAGTTTTCCTGCATTAGCCAAGAAAACAATGCTTTTCTTCCCCTACCACTTCAGAATCAACTCCCTAGAATCAACATGTCCCTTTAAATAGATTTAAAAGAACATAATTCTCCACCCAACCCATGTGCTTCAAGGTCCTCCTGCGTGTAAACCCACCCACCGGCGCTTCTCCCGAGTGTCAGGGTTCTGCCAGCCGACAAGAAACTCTGTCCTTTGTGAGGAGGACAGCTCTTTCCACAGATTCAGGATTATCTACTCCAAACCATGATTTCAGGTCAGCGTGAGGCTGTTAACCACTGAAAACAAAAAAAAGCAAAAACACTCCTGCATGTTGTTCGAGTGTTTCACTGGGACATAAACAAAAATCAGCCCTGCTTATTCAAACCACTGGCTTTTCCTCTCCACTCTTTGTCAGTATAACACAAGTTGTTTATGACACCTGTTTAAACTTCCAGAGGATGACAAGAAATAATTTGTATACATCTCAGTGAATTTGTTTGTAAGATTACTATGCAGAAGGACTGACACAAACAAAAGGGGAGTAAAGCCAGTCTAGTCGCACCAAGGTGGTGAGAGGGAAAATATTCCCATGGAACGAAACCCAGGGCTCAGGTGAAAGCTCTGGCCACATTCAGGTCTGTAGGCACCAGCCTCCAGTGAACTGAACTGTTCCACTGATGTCTTCCCCTTTTGTGTATGGAGACATGCTCTCATGCCCCAGCCCCAGCCTGGGCGGCCCATCCAAACACCTGTTGGTTGGTAGCTCACTTGCAGCAGGTGAGCCCATGGCCTCAGCAAACTCGACTTGTCTGAAACTCAAATCATTATCACCAGCAGAGTCACCCAAAACCAGGTGGTTCTTTTTCTATCAATGGAGCAACATTTGATGCAGCAGCAGCATGAACAACAGGCAAAAAGTCCGGATCACTAGAACTCTGTGCTAACATAGAATAATTCTCCTGGGGTGGATGCTAACTTTTCAAGTGCCAATACTTAAAAATAATTAGAGCACTACATGGTTACATGAAATACACTTGAGTCGCTTTTGTACACAGGCCAGCCTTTTCTGAACTTTGTCCAGTAAGCAGGGCACTCGTGGTACACTGCCCAATCCTGGCAAGTCTTGAAAGCTGTTCCCTGCACTCACTCATTTCTCGCCAAGTCTCTAGAGTTGCTCTTCATTGTTAAAAGTTAATTTTTAGTTACCTTTTCAGTTACTTTCGGATCAGAAAGTTGTTTAGCTGGATTAAACTTTATCGTAATAATAGTTCAAGCATCTTTAGACATTCCAGTACACAGCACATGCACACAGACAAACACACATTCCTTTTCTAACTGGCAAGAATTGCAGGAAACTTGTAGAGTGCCTCATCTCCTGTCGCAGAGGTCTTCAGTGTCTGGTCAGAGTTCACAGCACCGGCCAAATCCCCTCACCGTCCTGCCCCACCCTCTTGGAGCCTTTACAGCTGACTTAAGTGCTTTGGCCTGAAGGATCAGCACCGATCCAAAGCAGGGGACACACAGCTGTCCTTAGCCAGCACACCCTGGCACCAAACCTTCTTTCTGTTGGTTCTGATCCTAGCAGCAAGCACCACCTCATTCCTCTGCAACCAAGTGTGACTTTAACTGGGCACCTCCTGGCTCTGCTCAAACCCCTCTACCCCACCCCCTGGTTACCTTCCAGTCTTCCAGCTCATGCCTAAGGCCCTTCCTGACGCACCCCCAACAACCCTGGCCACAAACAAAATAATTCCTTCTAGGAATTCTCGCCCGCCTGCTGAGTTTGTGCTGCCAGGCCTCATGACCTGTCCCACTTCTCATCCAGCGTAAGTCTGGCAGGAACACCAGCCCAGCTATGAAACGCACTCATTCGCTTGCCATTGTTCTGTGTTCTTTCCAACTCTTGCTTTATGAGATGACCAGTATGTTCAATAGAACTTTTTGTGAGGATCATGTTTTATATATATATATATATATATATATATATATAATGGCTACTGAACACTCAAAATATGCCCGAGAAACTGAAGACTTAACTTTAATATACATTTGAAATAGCCACATCTAGCTAGTGGCTGCTGTGTTGGACAGCACACGCAGATTCTCAGTTTCCCTATCAAAAGAGATGAAGGCAAGGCTGTGCTTTCCTTGTACACAAATGTGCTGCTGATTCATCCTCAGGTGTTTTCCCTGCAGCTTGGGAGGAATGTACATAGGTCCAGTCCCTCGTTCTATGAACACAGTGGAAAGATTCCGCAGTTCAAATTCTAGCTTACCCACGTTAGCTACGTCCTGAGCTTCAGTTTCCCTATCCGTGATGTTGGTTGCTGAGGACAACCAACGGAAACAAAATAGATCTGAAAGCATGCTGTAATCTAAAACACCATTGGAATGTATGGCAATTATGGAACACTGGGGTAAAAGTAGAACCATGTCTCAATGTACAGAGAATGGTTTCGAACCATTTAGCTATGGATAGAATCGGGAGCAGATACACATTCTCTCTCTCGGTATATAAATTCATACCACAGACAACACACGTGCAGAAAGGACATACGAGGCAGCAGGTAGGAAGCCTGTATTCTTGGTTTCTCAGCAGATATTAACCTTGACTGATTGCTTATCAGCACATACTTTTTGAAAAATAAGACTTATTCAATTAAGAAAAAAATTGCTCTTTGGGCCGGACGCAGTGGCTCACGCCTGTAATTCTAGCACTCTGGGAGGCCGAGGTGGGCAGATTGCTCGAGGTCAGGAGTTCAAAACCAGCCTGAGCAAGAGCAAGACCCTGTCTCTACTAGAAATAGAAATTAATTGGCCAACTAATATATATAGAAAAAATTAGCCGGGCATGGCGGCGCGTGCCTGTAGTCCCAGCTACTCGGGAGGCTGAGGCAGAAGGATTGCTTGAGCCCCGGAGTTTGAGGTTGCTGTGAGCGAGGCTGATGCCACGGCACTCACTCTAGCCTGGGCAACAAAGCGAGACTCCGTCTCAAAAAAAAAAAATTGCTCTTTGGTACTGATAAAGTTTTCCAGATCCACTTTCCAGCCACTTCCTCTAGATCCAAAAGTCCAGCACCCACGGACACCATCCATACATACATTTCCCTGGGGCCTTCAAGATGGGGGGATAACCAGAGAGTTTCAGACACGGCATGTTTTATTTAAGAGTGAGGCACATTTCCTCCAAGTTCCCAAAACTTTCCCTCAAAGACCAAAAAAAAATGTTAAGTCTCTCAAACACTTTATACTTATTTCATGAATGTCTATTCCCAAGACTTTTAGATGTGTGTGTCAAATACACCTAGGCCTAACACGAAGTGAAAAATAGGCCCTCAAATGTTGAGCTGAATTATTATAGGATAGTGAACATTCTTTAAGTTCTTCAGGAAGTCTTTAATGATGAACTCAAATTCAGCAAACAGTTATAACATTTCAGTCACCATCAATGTGTTACTGAAATATGGACCTTAGAATACAAATATTTGCACTGCTTTCATGACACAATCATAAATGTCTATAAAAATAAAATTGTCTTTCTTAACAGACTATAAAATTTGTGGCTGAGGGTCAAACCTTAGCTATTTAAAAAAAAAAAACAACTGTGTGGATATATACAATTTCTCGTCACCATGCACTTGATTGACACTGGCTATATACTGATGATTCCGATCTTTGAAACCTGATGCACTTTCTGGTCACATCCTTAAAGCAGACTCACAATTACTTTCTATTACTCGGCAAACCACCAGGAGCTCTCATGGGGACCTGACAAAGAAAGTGCTGGTCCTGAGGAGAGTCGGGCTACTCTATGACTAGACATATAGACTGCATGTGAGTCCTACACACGGTACTATTTCAACACCTGTCACCCTGGAAAGATAGTAAGTCCTACCCCCAAAACATCTCAGGACATAATTTTCAGTCCCCATGATTCTAAAAATACTGAGTGAGTGATACCGATCTGCCAGTATGCCAAAGAAGGCTTGTGCCATCTGCTTCATTCTGCTCATGCTGATTATTTTGGGGACGAGACAGGATCAGACTGGAAGAAGAACATATATATATATGGCAACAGCCGGGAAAGGCTGGGGACTGAGAGTACAGCATGGTGGCAGCGGGAGGTCAAAACTCGAGTGTAGTTCCAGGACTTCCCCCAAGCTGCATAACACAACCATAACTGTTTTACAACATTCTCAAAATAAACTATGACGTTGGGCTTCTACTTCCATTGTTCCCAGTGACACAATGCCAGGCCCATTTCTGAGAGGAAACTGAATTTCCACGTTTGGTCTTCCAACATGGATGGCTTTTCCCATTGTCAGTTCTTTGAAGGACACTGGCAGTGAGTTTCTACCATCAAATTAAACTATTCAGAAACGACAACGGGAGAAAGATGATACCCAGAACCCCCAGGTAGTTGTCACTGCTTACTTTTTATTATGTGCACATGTTACAAAGTTTGCTAGCTATTGTGTCCAAGTAAGGGCTGGGTCTCATTTTAGGTCTTCAAGAAAGGGTGCTCACGGCGCTGCAATAACTTGGTTGACAATCACAGCAGTGAGGCCTTGACCATCAGGAGGCCTGTGGCTGGGTTATCAACCTTGCCTTTGAGCAAGGCCATAGTGGGGCCCGTGGCAGGGCTTCGGGGCCCCTGTGAATTCTCTGGAGTTCTGTGCAAAATTAGGGAGCATGTGTACTGGACTTTTCATGGTGAGAAGGACCATAGCTGTCTTCAGATTTTCTAAGGGGTCCCAGATTCACACAAGTTAAAGAACCTTGACTGAGCGAGAAATGAGAGATAATCCTTCTTGGTACTGTCAATTCAGTATGACTCTTCACAAAGCCATTGGTATTTCCTCATCCTCGGGCCACATTTTTTATGCCAGTGTGTTATCAGGAAAAAGTAGGGGGAAAAAATTTTGTAATAATGTTTTTCTAAAATCCAAGCAGAAAACCACTTGGACAAATTACATTTCCAA